ATAGTATATTAACCATTAGTTTGGGGCAAGGGGTTGGACTAGAGCAGGGGTCCCCAACCACCGGTCCACGGACCGGTACCGGTCCGCGGAACAACTCCTACCGGTCCGCGGCTTTCTGGGTGCCTTTTTTTCATGAAAAAGTGCTTCCGGTGAGCTTTTCCGGGTAGAAAGCTCACCAGAAGCACGTTTTCATCAAAAAAAGATGGCGGCGCCAGCGCTTCGGCGGTACCGGGCCGCGGCGTCAAAAAGGTTGGGGATCACTGGACTAGAGGACCTCCAATGATTTAATATTAGTAATGCACACATGCAATTAATACTGGAAACAAATTTAATAAACAATGGGCATAAATTGTTAGCATCTTCAACAAGATAGCCCTAAAGTAAGAGCCAGACTAATTCTGTTAAAGAAGGGTCAAGTACTTCCAAGCCAATGTATGGGAAAAATGTTAAAACTGTTAAACTCATTGTTGGTTAAACTCACTGTTGCTAAAAGGAGGTGCTATCAGTTGTTAAATATAACGTTTCATATACTTTTTCCAACAAATGGAACATGTTCAATAGAGGTAGTCCTTGACTTACAACAGTTCATTTAATGACTATTCAAAGTTACAACAGCACTGAAAAAAGTAACGACCATTTTTTACATTTATAATCGTTGCAGCATCCACATGGTCATGTGATCAAAACTCAGTTGCTTACAACGGTTTATGACGGTTGCAGTGTCCGAGTCATGTGATCACTTTCTTTAACCTTCTGACAAGCCAACGAGGAAAGCAAATTCACTTACCATGTTACTAACTTAACAATTGCAGTGATTCACTTAACTGCAGCAAGAAAGGTTATAAAATGAGGCAAAATTCACTTAGCTGTCTCACTTAGCAACAGAAATGTTGGGGTCAATTATGGTTGTAAGTCAAGGACTACCTGTAAAGCAGGGCTGGCAGATGCATGGCAGATAGATGCATCACATGCTGGCCACGGCCATGCTGTTTAGCAAAGTGGGGAAAAGTCCAGATACGTCATGTGACATCTCGAGTTTGACACCTGTACTATAAAGCAGTGATCCCCAACCTTTTTGACGCCGCGGCCCGGTACCGGCATCAGCTGGGTGCCGCCATCTTTTTTTGATGAAAACGTGCTTCCGGTGAGCTTTCTACCCGGAAAAGCTCACCGGAAGCACTTTTTCGTGAAAAAAAGATGGTGGCGCCCAGCAAGCCAGCGGCCCGGTAGGAGTTGTTCCGCGGCCCGGTACCGGTCCGCGGACCGGTGGTTGGGGACCCCTGCTATAAAGGGTATCATAGAAAACTGTTTTCTATGTTATTTGTTCCACCAGAACTCTTTATCTATTAATAAGACTTAAACTGAGTTCTGATCTCCCTGTAGTACTGGAAGATTATAGATTTCAAAGATTCACAAACTTTCTCTTACCATTTTAAGACTTTATCCAGTAACAGCACGGCATATGGAAGATTGTGGCTTGAATAGCAAATAAATGTGAAGAGAATTAATTACCAAATAATGTGAAAGATAGATACAGTGTGTATTTATGAAACTAAGAGAATGGGAAAGTGGTCTGCCTTTATGAGGAGGATTTATGAATATATGCAGAGAAGTGAAGGTATAAGGTTAATTATGAAAGACCTTCAAACAGAAAATATGAACCAGAAAAATTCTATTCAGATTCTCCTCCTCATGCTCAGACTTACACTCCTATCTTTATGATCTCTAACATATACACATTTTTTTCCATTTCCTTCCTTCTTTCCAAAGTAACAAAACATCCACAGCTTATTCTTATTATTCAACAGTGGTATCATTTCACAAAAAGAATAAAGGCTCTTAAAACCCTGGCAACTGTAATAGTCACAGAATATTACAAACCAAAATTAACAATTGCCTAACTACATATATTAAACTTAGTCGCTTTCATGTTTGTAAAAATTTCAGTTCAGTATTATCTTAATTGGGAGAAAGCATAAAGAACTAGAATTATTCAACATGCTTAGAAATACCACGATGAAATATTCAGCAACATTTTTTCAAAGAGCAGCTTTCATTGATACGAGGGAACCACTTCTTCTAAAAACTCAAGGAACACACAGAATGTTCCTTATGTTGATTTGGACTCTGGACATCTAGCTTGGTCTATGTTAACTAGGAGCTGCTTTCCAGGGCTTTAAGAAAATAATTTTTCCAACTGTAGCTGCTAGGGATTCAAATGAGATATTTTGTATTCAAAACATATCAGGACATTGAAAAAGATGCTACTAATCCTTAATCCTGTTCAAAAACCCAAGATACTGATGTTTTAGAAGATCTCATGGGCTTCATATAAATATTGATAAATGGCACATTCAGAACACAGAAATTCCACATAAAATAGTCTAAGCCTACTTTCAAACTGAACAGATGAACAAAAAAAAACACTAATGATGCTAAGTTGCTGTCCATAAAAGAAAAAATCTAAGCCCCACAGAATAACAAAGCTGGAAGGGAGGTCTTCTAGTCCAGGGGTCCCCAACCTTTTTTACGCCGCGGCCCGGTACTGGCATCAGCTGGGTGCCGCGGCCCAGTACCGGCATCA